CACTTTCATTTTTCAGAAAATAACTAAATTTTCTTTTCATGTTTAATATTTTTAAATTATATGCTTGAAATAAAATATTTTATACGTAATAAAAATGTATTATAAATATTTACACACTAAAACCCAAATTTTTATTTTTTTTAAGTTTTATTATGTGATATAATTTTTAAAATCTAAAATCTACTCTTCCTTCAATATAAGGGTCTTCTGCGATTTCATTTGATAATTATATTTATACTTCAAAATACAAAAAATATTTATTATTGTATATTTCTCTAAAACAAAAGTTGGTTTTAATTTAAGAAAATAATTTCTTACTACTGTGATCTTGAGTCCTAATTTCCCTATCATTCCAACATAATCCGAACTTTTATAAAATAGAAACGTTCTACTTACCACTAGATATGACTTGTACAATAAAATTATAAAAGTAGACAATGGAAATAATTTTTAATTGTGTAATATGATCTCATGCGATAATTTACTTGAAAAACCTATTCCTACCTTTGTTAAACTTCGCTCAAGGGACATTAATTAAAGAAGTTTTAAAAAAAAAAGAGAAAGCATTAAATTTGTTACGTAAATTTCATATAATTATATAGAATAAGTATTGGAATTATATATTACGAATCCAATTGATCTAACGTAGATTGCTCAGCCGATATAGAATTATTAAACCTATCTAAGAGAATAATTGACAAAACAAACAAAATTGTATCACTTTATTAAAAGAATATGACTGATTGTTTAAGTTACTAACCGGATATACACCTGGCGTGATTAAAAACATCTACAAATATTAACTTAAATCAGTTTGGTAATTTGAATTAAGAGGTAATTGGATCATAGTTAGATTGGTGATAAGTAAAAGTGGATTCCAATTTATATTAATAGGGTCTATGTGAGGTAGTTATGATGATTGAATGCTGCATTATAGTACACTTTCCAGGTACCATCTAAGCGGTTGTGAACCTAGCAAAAATTGCATCAAACCAAATAGAGTTATTAGTACTCAACTTGATCAGTGGAAATATTTTGACGCTCATCGTAGAGCCAAGCGAACACTTATAAACTCACATAGTGGCCATAAGGAATATGATGAGTAACATTGTGTTAAAAGAAGCTTCGGATGACCAATTGGACTCGAGATCATGAGAAACCTACAAAAACAAATGGATGAAATTCAGAGCAGATATGAGGAAGAGTTACAAGTCTTGCAATCAGAGAACGCAACCATGCAATAAAGTTAAGGTCATAAGAATCTTGTGCCTTCCACCCCGACACTTCTCGGATTGTAAACAATTGCACAATGAACTTGGTTATACGATTAAGGAGAACAACAGAGCCAACAAGGATCATACCCATATGTCGATCATAAGCATTATGGAAACCCCTACCTTATAACTGGAGGATTCCTATTTTCGGCAAGTATGATGCCTTCACCAACTCATAAGAGCATATTAGAATATCCATAAACCAAATGATGGTGTATATAACGAGCTATGCTATCTGGTGCAAAGTTTTCTTTACCTCGTTAAAGGGAGAGGCCCTAGCCTAGTTTTTATTACTCTTGTCAAACTCTATAGATTGTTTCGCCACAATTTGGTCAAAGTTTGGAGTATAATTTTCCACCATCCGACAACAACACTTGACCTCGATTGTTGTGGTCAATGTAAGACAAAAGAAGGATGAGTCTCTTTGGCCCTTCATGGATCGGTTTGGTAAGGTTGCCTTGCAAATTAAGAATGTTAGTCTTGACATGGTCATGCACCATATGATCACGGTGTTACGACCTAACTCGTTTGTCGACATTTTGTGCATCCAACCTACAGAGAACCTCGACAAGCTAAGAAAGAGAGCCACAAATTTCATGCAAAAGGAAGATATGAGAGATTTCCTTAATTAGATGAGAGTCGAGTCATTCATCGGTGAAAGGAGTTATAGAAATTCATCCAAGAAAAACAGTGCATGATCCAAGGAACTCGTTAAAGGACTACACTTTCAAAAATGAACTCCTTGAACGGTCCACATGTAAAGGTCCTAGAAGAAGCTTTGAGTAAGGATCTTCTTCCGAAGTCACTCCTCTTAACTTGAACGGTAACAAACATTGTCTTTACCATCACGACCTCGGATATACTACTGAGGAATGTGTTTCCCTATGAGATAAAATCGAAGAACTGATTCGAGAGGGTCATTTGGAAAATTTTGTGAAAGCCGAACGCGTTGAGAGAAGTCCCCCTCGATGGTGCAAGCTGCCAAGAAGTCGTTTCCCTAGAAAGGAAGGTCGAAGATCCGATCGGCGCATGTAACCAATCCACGGACTAAGTCGCATTAGGAACAGGAGTAGCGATCTCCCATTAAAAGGGGTAATCAACACAATTTTGGGAGGTTTTGCAGAAGAAGGATTGTCAGCTTCCGCTCGAAAGAGGGATATTTGAGCATTAAAAATAGTGCAACGAATGGAAAGGCTTGTGAAAAGCATGCCTCTTATCAGATTCATAGATGAATATTTTAAAGCGCATGACCCCAACTAGGGCTATTCAATGATGATAATGATTGATCTTGCTAATTACGACATTACCAAAGTGTTGGTCGGTCAAGGTCAACATCTTGCATTTGAAAACACTCAAAATAATGGACATATCTCAAGAACTCATTGTACCCTACAATGAGCATATTGTTGGTTTTTCAGTGAAAGGGTAGACATAAGGATATTTGGACTTGCAAACACACTTAGGAATCGAACGGAATAACATGGAGATCTGGTTCGATATCTCTTGGTAAAGGCAAACACATCTTACAATGTCTTACTCGGTCTGTTGTGCTTGAACACCTTTCGAGTCATAGTGCCCACACCCCACATCGCGATGAAATTTCCATCGACAATGACAAGATCTGTATGATGCATGTAGATAAAAAAAATAGATAAGGAATGTTGTGTTGCTAGAGCATACAAGAATCTAATTTGTAATTTAGTGATTAAGAGCATCTACAAAGATTAATACAAATCAACCTGGTAATTACAATTAAAAGGTGATTGAATCGTAATTAGACCGAGAGTAAATAAAAGCTCATTACAGATTATATAATATAAATTATATAAGTAAAAGTCTATACGAAGTAAGTATGGTAATTGATAATTCCATTTAATATTGAATAACCAAACCATTTCTAACTCAATCGAAATATTTTTGCCAGAATTATCAAGTAAAAAAAAGCTTAATACATCATTTGGTCCCTAGTTTTGGGCGTTGTGTTCAAAGTGGTCCTACCATTTTCAAAAGTTCACAATTGTCTCATATTTCGTAAAAAACGGTTCAAGTTGGTCCTTTTGACTTACGACGTTAACAACTAATGGCGTAATGATGTGGCAACTGTGACATGTCCAATTTTTTATTACGTGGAAACTGTGACCCAATTGATGTGGCAATGTTAATGTAAAAGGAAAGGAGGGCACCGTGAAACCTAGTTTCCCTAAGGACAGAAACCCTTGTGCCGCCACCGTGAAACCCTAGCCGTCACCACTGTCGTAGAACGAAATGCGCCACCACCAAACCCTCAGGCCACCATGTCGTCGTCACCACCATCAACACAGATCTATAATTTGAAGTAGAGAAAACCAACAAAAAACATAGAAATCAAACCCAAATCGCCTAAATTCAACCAAACCCTAGCCACCATGAAACCCTAAATCGCCCCACCAGTAACCAGGGCAAAATATCCACGATGCGTCGCGCCTCACCACCATCAAGCAAGAACTTAATAGAAATCCCTAACCTGCAAACCAGAAATTCCAACCCAAACATGAACAAGAAAATAACAATCGCGACACCTAAAAACTCAATTCACACCTGCAACAAACCATAAATGTACATAATCACTACCCAAATCACAAAAACCCTAGTTTGCAAGCAGCATCCACCAATTTGCAAATTGCACAAGCCAAAAATGCAGAAACAATGCGCCTCCATGCATCGTGCAAGAAGCCTCTTCGTGCGTTCTTATTCATTCATCGTTGATCAAACGCGTAGTGCCACCATGGACTGCCGCGAGTCAGAGTGCAAAATCATGAAGACTCTCTCGCATAAATATTGTCATATCAATTGGGTCATAGTTGACGTGTAATAAAAAATTAGACAGATTACATTTGCCACTTCATTACACTGTTATATCTTTAACGCCGTAAGCCAAAATGATTTATGAACAATAATAAAATTTTGAAAAAGATAAGACCACTTTGAACAATGTTCCAAACTATAGGAAGCAAGCCTAAAAAGAAAAAAAAGAAAAAGTTGTCCACTAAAAACATAATCATTAAACATACTTTACAGTTTCACTATATTAAAAAGGAATTGTGCTTGATATTTATTCTTTATATTAAAAATATATATGATATAATAACATAAAGATATTCTAAATTTTATAAAATAATCATTTTTTATTTAATTACATTTTAACTTTAGTTTATATTCATTCTTATTAAGTTTTAATGGAAAAAATATTTTAATTGTTTATTATGCTATTAAATACTTTAAAATTCTTTTTCTTTCTCCATTATCAAACCAGCTACAATTCTTTTACTTATTTTTTTCTTTACTATCATATCATCTTTCTCCGTATATCCTTGATCTCCTTCTTCTTCTTTTCCCCACCTTTTATCTAAACTAAACATGATACCGATGTATCAAAAGAATACAAAAACTATTTTAGAATATTTTAATATTATAAATAAATTAATAATTTAATTGTTTTAACTTACAGTATTAATATATATCATGATGTTTATTAAACGGAGTGCAATAAATTGAATTTATTTTACCTAAGATGGTGTTATTTTAGAAAAAGATCATGGCGCATCGCCGCACAATAAAAAACAAATAAACTTTAGTATTTTTAAAAGCAGAAAAAACAAAGATAATGAAATAGGTGTATAAGGTTTAAAATGTTTCATGATCCTTTTAGAAAAGTTTAGGCTACCACTTTCCTTTGAAAATTAAAGAATATAAATAGAAGAATCTAGGAACATTGAAAAACGAAGACCAATAGAAGAATAGAGACAGCAGCATCTTAAGAAAAAACCATAAAACAACATTTCTTTTACACTAAATTAACAATTCATACGAGAACAATGTCACTTATTTTGTGTATGATCAGTTCAAACTCAAAACACTACAAACGGAAAACACATAAATATTGAGATACAGGGCCACAACGGAAACACACCCATACTCAGTCTATTCAAATCTTTTGTTTCTAATAATGGCATTTTGGCTCAAACGCCAGTGGTCCCACACTGTAGAGCACAAAGGGCAGCTTCTTAGACAAAAATGGCTTCTCTGGCCTCAGAACAGCACCAGTGGCACCACCATGGAGATTTGAGGCTTTTAGGCCACCGGGTGCACTGACCAGAACCACATTGCACTTGTGAGCTCCGTACGTTGTGATTCTCCTCGGCGCTTCCACGTAGAAGTAACCGTTCTTGTCACTCTTGGTGGTTTCGACCAGCTTGTACTTTGTATTGTTGCATTGAAGCTTTACAATGGCACCTGCAGTTTCAAACCATCACACACTCATCTCTTGTCGTTTACCAAGATTGGGATAACATTGTCATTTCACAAGAGTAAAAAAGGGTAACCATTACACAATGGTGAAAACAGTCACAAGAAACAAAGTATTGGTCTCAGAAACCGTGCAGCTTTCGTGAAACAAACGACAAATCAACTTTATCACAAAGTAATTGCTGTTTTGAAGTCCCTCTTTCTCTCTCTCTCAAACAGAGATACACAGACCAACTCATTGATTTATTTTGCCTTGAGATGCGAAACTAATAAAGATAGCTACATTATGTTGAAAACACACTCATTTCTACGGGGTTTTGCTTTTGGAAAATTTCCTTTCCTTGAATCAAGCTCCATTCATGCATTGGAAAGAGCGAGTTGAAATATTAATAACATCATCTTACATGCAGACAGCGGAAGTATCCATATAAATAAAATATTTCGGGAAGTATACAAAATAAAATAAAAGTAAAATAAAAGTGAAATAAAGTTAACTTTATCTATCCAGATCATCTTCTGGTGGAACTAAAATGGATTAAACAGCACAACAAATAAATTAGATGGCGAAAATAGTAGAGAAACAAATAAAAAGACCAGATCTAAAAAGTATAAAACAAAATCTGCAAGTCATTATTTTTTAAACTTCCCTGGAAGCAAAAACTTTTACTTGGATGGAACAGCTATAAGGTATTCAAAACATTTAGGATCAGTATATAATAACCTTGCAACAAAAAAAAAGAAAGCAAGGTTAAAAAGTAGTTAATGGATACTAACCAAGCAGTGGTGTGGCTCCCAAGAGGGTGTCAACTCCAGCATACTTGCAGGACTTGACGTAGACAACACCTTGAACTGCCACAAAGCTTCTAGGGAAGGGGTGCACTGGAACAGGAGGGTGAACTGGAACGGGAGGCTTGACAGGAGAGTGAACTGGAACCGGGGGCTTGACAGGAGGATGCACTGGAGGATGAACTGGAGGGTTAAGAGGAGGGTGAACTGGAACAAGCGGAGGGTTGAGAGGAGGATGAACAGGGGCAGAAGGGTGATGGTGATGATGATGAGTAGGAGGGTGAGCAGGAGCTGGAGGATAATGTGGGTGGGTAGGGGGAGAAGGAGGGTGAAGAGGTGCAGGGGCTGGTGCCGGTGAGTGGTGGTGGTGGTGATGGTGGTGAGGGGCGTTTGCAGGTGGGTAAGTTGGAGGGTGAAGTGGGGCTGATGTGGGGGGGTGAGGTGAAGGAAGAGTGTAAAGCTCTTCGGCAAACACATTCACAAGGAACATGAACAGCACTAATGGCATGATTTTGGCCATTGCTCCAAGAAAGAAAGAGAGAGAAAGGAAGAGAGAAATGTTAGTATAATGGAAGGGTTGCAGGGGTTGATTTATAGGGGCTGATGCCGGAATTCTCTGCGGTTTTTATTGATATGTAAAGAAAAATTGTGAAAGAAGATTAGGGAAGTGAGTGTTTCCCTGTTAGTGATAAGTAGCTTAGCTGGTTAGGTTTGTGGGGGTGGGGATGAGAATGGAAAGTAGGAAACTGCAATGTGAGGTGAGCATTGAGAAGGTAAAATTGATGTACAAGGTAAATTAATTGCAGTACCACACTTCAACATGTTCTGTTTTCATTACAGTATCAGTGTCTTAACTAGCTTTTATTACATGGTAAGAGTTTTATTTCATTTTCTTTCTTTTTTATATTTTAATTTTTTTATTATTATTATTTATTTTAATTTTATAAAGAAAATTAATTGTATCATCTTTAATATATGACTTAAATAAAAGATCTAACATTACACATTTAAGTAATTACTGTTTCTTATTTCATGTTATGTAAAAAATTGCATATACTAAAAATGATAAAAAATTTCCATGAAAAAATAATTGAAACTAAAATGTAAAAAAGAAAAACTTAATTTTCTAAAGTATATATAAATAAATTTAATTAAATTATTGCTTAACTTATTTCAAAAAAATTAGTTATTCAAATAAAATAACACATATAACTTTTAAAAACATAAATAAAAGAATTTAAAATTTTAATAAAATAATTTTTTATCAATTAAAATTATTTATTTATATCATTATAATTTTATATTATTTTATATTTATGTAACTGGTTCATTGATTAGTTTTATCATACATTATTACTACAAAGGTCATAGATAGTGTTGGATGAATACAATATATTTAACCTTTTAATTGGCCAAAAAATAAAATGATTTAAGGATTTTTTTTAAAATATTTTATCAAAAAGTACTTAGCTCTAACTTATTTTTATAAAATTAATTTACAAAGTTAGTTGTCACATTTATGTAAAGTAATTTTTTTTACAATAATTTTATTTTATTTTTAATTAATATAATTTTTTAATATAATTTTTACTGTGAAAATTTAATATGCCAGAAACTAAATATTTGTTGGCGATTCAACAACAATCCGATAGATAAATGATAACTTAACAAATTTTATTAAAATAAATTGTAATAATTATTTTTACTATGGTATTAAAATTATTTAAAATATATTATAGTTGGATTTGTCATTGTATCCATTATTGAATTTATCTTTTAAATTGAATACAATGAATGTGAAAGTTCAACTTTATTTTTTAAGTATGAATATATGTTTGTAGTTTCATATCAAAATATTAAAATACGAAATTGTAATATATAAAATGGAAACCTGATATACCTGAAATTATTAATTTATTGTAGTTATTATTCATAAATTTAAATATAATTTGTATATAATTTATTTTTATTACAAGATACAAGCGAAAGTTTAAATTTTAACTTTTAGGATTTATATTTTTTATTAATATTAATTTGCAGAGTATATTATCATATCAAAATTAGAATAACGTTATTAGAATGGATTTTTGCCAATCAAACTCAATTAAACTTGTGAAAGTTAAGCCTAAGAGTGTAACAGTTTCAGGGTGTGCAAATTTGTTTATAAGAATGCTAAAATGGCTGGATGAATGCACATGCATAAGATATTTGGAATTTTGCACTTCTTACGAGACTTGTGTAGAAGTTTTCAATGCTCCCTAATAGTTTTAAGATTTTTTAGTACCCACTTCAGACAATTTGGGTCAAGTTTCTGATATTGCATTTATTAGGAATGAAAATGAAATTATTTGTGCAAAAAAAAAAAATACCCACCAAAAAAACAAGTTCAAATTTTGAAGCATGAAAGAGGCTACATGAAATGATGGGTACAAAAGACTAATGCTGACTAAATTTTAACATAAATTTGTATAATAAAGTATTAATAAATATGATAAATAATTAATTAAGCTTTTTAATGTGTACATGTAAATTAAATTTAACATGAAGTTTTTCTATATATTTCAATTATGTTAAATTTTTTAAGTGTCAAATGTTTCCAATTTATATTAAAGTTAAAAAGTGCCATACAATCTTTCATTTATTAAGATGAAATATTAATATATAAAAAACTGAGAAAAAATATATTTATTTACTTTTAAAGTTTAAAATTTAAAAATTAACAAAATTTTAAAATAAATAAATTTCAATTTTATATTAAAATTTAAATATTAAAATCATATTTAATTTGTTTCCAAGTAATTAATTTGTACCAGACAAAATCTATAATCATTGCATTAATTAAAATATATTAAAATTTTATAAAACTGAACAAATTTATGTTTATATGATTATCATTCTTACTTCTGCAACAATTTTCTGTAAATTTTTATTGACGTTAATATACGGACAAAAAAATGTTCTGCCACAAACGGTCCAAAATAAAGCCGTTTCTACGCGCACAAACCATTATCCTGTCCGTCTTCCAAGAAACATAAACATAATACTTTAAGCTCTTATTATTTTATTTATTTCAATTTTGCAATATGAATCATCTAAATCTGTGTATAAAATTAATTACTTGTTTATATATATTAAAGTTAAATAAACTTTATAATTTATTTATGTATAAAATAATTTTATTTAATCTTTGTAACTATCATTTAATGTATTTTGTTATTTAGATTACAAAATAAAAATCATATAAAAATTATAATTATATACGTAAAAAGTAAAATAAATAATTTACTAGTATATGAACTCGAAATAAATTGTTAAATGAATAAATAAACTATAACAATATTATTTTTACAATTTTGTTGAGATGTGTATAATTTAAGATAATGAATTTATGAATTTTTTAAATTATATAATATTTAAAATTTTTTATTTAATGTAAAAAAATTCACACTTATACTTGAGTTCTTAACAGAAAATTATAAAATAATATATTATATTAAATAATATAATCAATTATATTTACATATCATCTACAAACAATTAAAAAAAATAGTCAAATTGTTCATATATCTGTATATAATAAAATGTGAATTGTATAATGTTTTAAAAATATTAGTTCAAATTTTTTTTTTCTGTGTTGATTTTAACTCTAAAGTGATACGAGAATAATTGGTTTCATATAAGAGAGATTAATTGGATTGAGAAAAAAAATATTATTTTATTTTTGTCTATTATATTATACTAAAATGTGAATAGTCCAATCAATTAAGAAGTTTAATAAACCTAACCATAAACGAAAATTTAATAAGTTATTATGAAACAAATTTTTTAATAGTCAAAGTTTTATCTTAATATTTCTTTTGTTGATGATGTGAATTTTTTAGTTTATGAAAATATTTAATATAAAATTAATATGTTTGTTTATTATATTTAAATAAATAAAAAAAGTTGGCTTGTCAAATTTAATATAAATTTTTGAAGTTCAATATTGGTATAGTTAATAAAAATAGGTTTTTTTAATCGTATGTATCCTCTAATCAACGAGTTATCTGAATAATATTTTTATTATATTAATCAAGTGGATTAGATGACATTTTTACAAAAAGATTGAATGATCAAGATGAAACGACTTAAAACAAAAAATTATTATGATTAAACTTCTAAACAAGACTAGTGAAGTTTGAGTCGTAATTAGGCCAACAATAATTAAAAAACCCACTACAAAAACTATAATTAGAAGTTCAAGGTAAGGTGGAAGGTAGGACATTATTACATATTTATTACTCTAACATTCGGACAAAACTAACTTTAGTATTGGAGAACCTTTAACAGATATCAACCGATTGATATTGACGAATAGAACTTGGAGCAAACATTGTTGGTCGATTGATCCTTAGAAAGAGTTTGATCAACCCTATTTATTAAAATATTTTGGTGTCCATCGTGAGCCCGAGTGACGACATTCTAAACTCATTGTGACCATAAGGAACATGTTGAGTAATGTTGTATTGGAGGAAGCTTCAGATGACCAATGGACCCAAGGGAGATGATGAGGGACCTACAAAAACAAATTGATGAGATACAAAGCAAATATGATGAAGAATTAAAAAGCTTGCATGCGAATAAGCAACCATGTGACAGGGTCGGGGTGATAAAAGTCTCATACCTTCTACCCGACACTACCCAGACCGAGCAAATAACTACGCAACAAACTTGATTGTACGATTTTGGAAAGCAACGAAGCTAGCAAGGATCATAACTTGTCCATTGTCACAATGGTTACAATTGGGATGTTCTCGTTCACCACGGGCATCGTGGAGACCCCATTACTTTATAACTAAAGGATGCCTATTTTCGGTAAGTATGATGGCTTCAATTCGGTAAGTATGATGGCTTCAACGACTCGAACGAGTATCTCCGAATGATCATGAACCAAATGGCGATGTATACAATAAATAATGTCATCTAGTGCAAGGTCTTCTCCACCTTATTAAAAGGGGAGGCCTTGGCTTGGTTCTCCCTACTACCGCTAAACTCCATTGATTGTTTCACCACTATCCGATCAAACTTCATAGCACAATTTGCGACAAGCCAACTACACCAATTAACTTTGATTGCTCTAGTCAATGTCAAGAAAAAGAAAGCTTAGCCCCTCCGAGCGTTCATAGAACACTTCAGAAAGGTGGCTAAGCACATACAAAACCTATGCCTAGAGGTGGCTATGCACCATATAATCACAACCCTATAGCCAGAACCTTTCGTAAATAACCTATGCATGCAACCTATAGAAAACTTGGACAAACTCAAACAGAGAGCGGCCAAGTTCATGCAAGTTAAAGAAATGAGGGACTTCGGAAAGCATATGCGCGCAAAAGCCTCATCTAGTGACAAAACGGGGGTTGATAAGAAACTACACAGGAACAATTATGATTTAAGACCTAACGAACATACCAAAGGCCTTCATTTCCATTGAGAGGATAATAAGGCAAATTTTAACAAAGACAACCACCGCTTATCTAAGTTTATCAATAACTGACTAGCATGCTTGGAGGGAAGAAGTTAGAATGCTTATGGAGAAAAAAGACCAATGCGAGAGGATAAACCATGTTGACACTCGACAAGCCACACAATTTATTATAATTGGGGAAGACTTATACAATAGAGGATTTTTGACACCCCTATTGAAATTCCTTT